AAAAAAGACCGTACCCTTTTATGTAATGATGTTTACTTTGAATTTTTATTAGTTCACACAAACACTCCATCCATGCTTTTGTTCCGGCCCTGGCCCTCCCGTCCAGTTTAAGAACCCATTGTGGCCCTCGAGTCAAAAAGTTTGCCCACCCCTGGCCTGGGGGCATGATAGCACACGTAGAAGCCCTTACTAAAACCCCCACCAAGCCTTACCGGATAGCCAGCAAAGCCTGTCTCCACAGGTGTCTCAAATGAGAGAGGCGTCCTCCAAATAGGAGGCATCTCTGCCAGGATCCCAGCAGGGTGCTGTGAGTTCAGACCTGATGAGTCTTCGAATGCATCTTCTTTAGCAGATCACATGGGGACACAGGTGAAAACCCTGAGTAATCCGACCCCCAGCCTGGGGGACTTCATAAATCAGTGATCAGAGTCAGTGGTTCTCAACCTTGGCTGCACATTAGAATCACCTGGGAATCTTTTTTTAAAATCCTGATTTCTGGGCCTCATCCTCCGGAAATTCTGTTTCTTTGTTATGGGGCGGGGCCACAACATTAGTAACAAAGAAACAGAATTTCCGGAGGATGAGGCCCAGAAATCAGGATTTTAAAAAGATTCCCAGGTGATTCTAATGTGCAGCCAAGGTTGAGAACCACTGGATCAGACCAAGGAGCGCTAGGTGGAAAAAAAATGTTACTTATTTTGGGAATTATGATCTTCATCTGTGTTTTCTCTTGCATGTGCCTATATTATTACTGTTGCCTCTCCCTCCAGTGCAGTCAGCCGCCAAACGATCCCCTTCATGCCAGTGGCACCCCTTGCCGACCCGCTCAGGGCACACCGTGGAAGAGCGTGTGGGGGGCGCATAAGATTGTAAGCGCGGTCACTGGGCGGGCGTGACCGCAGGCTGACCCCAGAGCTGCCGCGGGGCAGTGGGAGGCTCCGCCCTGCCCCAGGCCTGGGACCGCACTTCTCCCCGCGGTTCCCACTGCGGGAGCCATTTTCAAGGACTCAGCCGGGAGAGAGCAGCGTGGTGTGGAGACCACCTGGAAGATGCACACGACGGGCCCTTCAGAACCTCTGTGCAAACGTGAAGGCTCTGGCGGCGCAGGAGCCCGACTCGAGGTAAGTGCCTCGCTTGTTACACTCGCCACCAACCTGACGCGTGTGCCTGTTCACCTCCCCTGAACTCCGCGTTCCGGAATCCGTTTGTGAACCAACAGGTGGGTTTTCTGTTCCTCTCCTCTGTGGCAGCTTTTGGAG